AGTAAAGGTCTTGGGAAGATGCAGCTTTCCTCCATCTATAAGGACCTGTGGCCAGAGAACCTCGAGACTCTTACGACAGATGCTAATAGCTGCCTTCCACTCCTTGCGTGAGCGATGCAAATGAGCTAGATCTCTGCATAGGAAGACTGTGTCTGATCCAATATCTCCATGGCCGTGGGTGCTGTGGAGAATGCTGTCAAGGATGTTAAGCCACAAGAAGTCTTCGATGGGGTTCTTGACACCCTTGTAGCAGACAATAAGAGCAGAGTAGACTTGTAGCATTTCGTCAAAGTGGTCATGAGAGGGTAGTTGGTGGATCTCATAGAGAACTCGAAGAATGCTCAGTGCTTCCTGGTTCTTCTCGAGTCGGAGAAGAAGCTGGGCGATTTCTCGAAGGTTTACCAACGTCGTCACCTCGCACCGACGGTCGGTCGTCACGAACCTAGAAACAGAGGTCCAGAATGATACCAGCGTCGTGCTAGCTTCCTTCTCAAGAGACAAGTCACGTAGCTTCGTAGCCAATTGCAGAGTTACAGAGGTGAACGCCACCAAAATTGCCCCGTGGTTATTGTTCTCCTTGTTCAGCTGGCCTTGGAGCAGACTCCATAACTGCTGAAGAGCACCCTTGGAAGCGCTCGACATACCGCGGTCCTGGTAGTGTCGAACAATGCGGGTAATGGCGGAGAGTGCAGCGTCTGTCCACGTCTCTAAGGTGGGTGCAGCATCGAAGACATCTTGGCACAGCTGTTGCGCGGCAGCCATATCGTCAGCATGCTCAAGCGCATCAATAAGCACGTGGAACAGATCCAGGGTCTTGCTTGCGAAGAGGCCTCGAGTTCTGCAGCACGCAACATACATATCGTGCAGGATCTCAGCAGCCTCAGCGAAACGCATCTCCGCCTTGTAAAGCTCCGCGAGCCTCTGAGCAACGGCAAGTGTTTGATCATGGCTCTCTCCGAGCTCTGCCCTCAGGACACGCCACAGGTACTTGTAGACCTTGGAGCTCTTGGAAGACAGTGTTGTGTGTGGTTTGACCAGGGACATGATGTACTTGGCACCAGCAGTAGCCTGAGGGCTTGGGTCTTCGAAGGTAAGAATGGCTGCTTCGAAGGCTTCCACCAATCGCTCAATGCTGACGGTGTGACGAAGATCCGAATGGGCAAGATTGATCAATGTTTGAATCACAGACTTGGCATTTGCACCAAAGGCTGCCTTTCGAAGAGAGAGAATCCTAGTCAATTGCTTGTTTGTGGTGATGCTGTCGCCTTCGGATCGGAGGAAGTGCCATTCAGCCAAGGCCATCAAGACTGAGTCAGACATCTTCGAGGATACATCAGCAGGGAGATGTCGCGAGAGCTTCTCAGAAGATGAAAGAGACTTCTCGTAGTGCTCATACCAGTTTCTGGCGGCGTAAACCATGAGCGAGTCAAAGTCCTTGTACGAAGCTGCAGTGGCCCATTGAGTCTGCGAGACGTTCTGAAAGACGATATCGACCTTGTCTTGCTGAAGGTGCTTCTTCGCATGCTCAAGACAGTCAATCGCGACCCGTCGATGAGCCAAGTTCAGCGACAAAGCAATCTTGCCATGTATAGCAAGATGATGCATCTTAGCCTGGACAACAGAATCGACAAACTGAATGCGACCGCTGCGAATGGTGATAATGCTGGCAAGAGGAGAGTTGGAGCTCACGGACCGACCGGAACGGATTCTTCTGAGCCAGTTGCTCATAGTGACAGAGCCGTAGCGTTCCATTTCATCAACGTGGATAGGTCGCTTTCCGACAAGAAGCCATGAGAGAAGGGACTGCATATCCGGATTGGAGTAGTCAATCTTGAGAAGCATGTTGTCTAGAATGCCTTGAACAGTCTTGGGTGTCTTGCAAATGATGTCTGTCATACGACCAAGATCATGCTCAGCTTCCAGTAGACGGAGGATGAGCTTAGCCTCCAGAAGGGACGTCCATTGGCGTTCCGCGATATGCTTCTGAAGCTCCCTCTTCATTTCAGCCGAGAGGAATGACAGTATGGCTGATGTAGAGAGAGCCATCTGCATGAAAGAGCGCGCATTTCTGCGGATATCCATGCGAGACAGAGTATAGATCTGAGTGCCAGAGATAGATCTCGCTGAGTCGGCATCAGCCAATGCAAGACACCGAATGTTCTCGCACTTCGATGTAAGTGCTTGGAGCTTGGCGAGGAACTTGGAGGAGCTATCAGTACCGTGGCTGTCGATGGTATTGATCACAATGGCAACGTTTCCACTGGCCTTGGAGCAGCGGTCACTGAGAAGTTCCCACAGCAAGTCTTCTGTCTTCTCCGCTGACTCGGTCTCACTGCGCTTCCTAACAGTGTTGATAGCATCAAGCAAGCCAGTGTCGCCGATAGACTGGTCGAGAAGCTGGAAAAGCAATGCTTTGAGCAGACGCACGGACGAAGAGCCCTGTGTCGCAGAAGACACTGATGCGCGAAGCAGCTTTGCATCCAGAGACAGAGACAACTGTAAACGCTCAATGATATTGGAGACGAGCTCTTGCTCTCCGTAGCCAGCGTCTCCAGCGACAAGCAATAGTCTGGAGGGCGTCTTGAAGAACTGAACGACAACGGGCTCAACGCAATCGAAGACAAAGGAATGGCCATGTTTGCTTCCATGGTGGCCTCGAGAGAAGCCGTGGCTACAATGACCATGGCCACTACCATTCAGCCAGTCTTGTACGGGCCCATGGCAGGTACCAAGCGAGCTATCCTTGAGCGACAGTATCCAAAGTTCCTCGCATGCTGAATGCGCAGCCAGGGACAATGAAGCCAGGTCTGCCTCAAAATATTGTTCGATCTGAAGGATAAGCGACGACGAGGTACGGGAACCGGCTACAGAGACGTTAGCATACTGGGGTAACACAAAATAGGATAGCTATGAGGACTCACCTTTGTTGATCTCATCCAGAATGTCAATGAACCCCAAACAAATCTGTTGCAACGACTGAAGCACCTTGGACAAGCAGCTATAAAGCTTATCCGATGATACGCCTTCAGGAACCGAAGCTCTCACATGCTGAATTGTAACACTAGCTCGATGGAAAACAGCAAGCAAATTATCCAGCGCTGTGCTAGCACTAGCAAGCTTTCCCTGCATCGACAGAGCAAGCTCGCAGCTGGAGTAGAACATGGAAGCGACGCTTTCAGCATCAGATCCATGATTCTTCATAAGCGCGACGAAATCAGCGATGCGCTCGGCTGAAGACTGGACTTGCTTCAGACGTCTGTCAACAAGACTCCATTGATGAGGTACGAGTCTCATGCGTGTCTTGTCAATGAGGTCAAAGACGTGATGGATTGTAACGCGCTCTCGGGAAGCAGGGAGTGCGCATGTCATGCGCAGCTCTCGGAGAGAACTATAAGCTCTAACCATGCGATCTTCTGTGGATAGCGCTTTGTTAGACTGACTGCTCACAGCGCGTCGCCCGATGAAACTGCCAGAAGTAGTTGTAGTTTCACTAGACATTGTGCGTCTTGTTGATAAGGGCTGCGAGTCATTGCGACTGTTGCGCTTTGGCAAGCTGATGTGAACTCTTCGGATCGTGGTGCTATCAGCATCGTTCTTGACAAGGCTGTTGTCAAAGCCTTGAGATCCATGGCTCACGTCTCTGTTCTGTTGTCCTGAGATCGATCTGCGACCTTGGGGACGAAGTGGTGCTGGTCTTGTTTGTAGTCGCCTGTCTAGGACGGTGTCGATGGTGAGGTCTGCTTCTGAAGTGTCGACCTCGTCGTCGAAGACGAGATGTGAATCTTGTACTGGCTGGACATTCTCTTCGCTGTGCTCGGAGCCTTCTGAGGGTGACTCTGGACCAAGCTCTGTGATGTCTACTAAGGGCTCTGCAGCCTTTGGAAGCTGCGGCGCAACTTCTTCTGCTTCTGCCAGAGGAGTTAGCATCAATTGCTGTGCTCAATGTCAATTGAGGGTCAGCCATGGTTACTTACGAGGTGATTGCAGCATCGCGATGACTCTGTTGCTGTCTCGCAACCACAGTCAAACTCGAGCACTTCGTGAGATCTCAGCTTCTGTAGACTAAAATGTAATTGTAGAATTCTTGAAGGGAAAAAAGCGAGAAGTGAATGGATGGACTGGGGAATGGAAAATGGCCATGCGTGCGCAATGCTGCAAAGAGGCCAGTCACTTGCATCGCTTTATCGAAACAGGCATCGGAGTCAATTCCTCGTAACGCAACCACTCTATTCATGCTTATTTTTCGATAGTTTCATTTCCAGCTGCATCTTGTTCTGTCTAGATTGGTCTCGGTGTGGAGGGAGCTAGCAATTGGGTGTAAGTCGCACATGTACTGTGCTTAGTATCGCACACGGAGTACGTGGGGAGTGGGAGACACGCGGCATCGGTAGCGCTCCCTTCGGCGTTACAGGGAACCTATCCCCTGAAGTTCGCGTGCTGCATGGCCTAACTTAGTCTAATGCGCTAGATTAGTGCGCTAATGCAGTCCAGGGTCTTTTCAGCACATATCAGGGACGCCTCTCAATTGACCCCGCCGTCAAAGCGACGTTCCGACTAAAGGCTGGAATCAATATTTTCAGCTCTCAACACCAAATGGACACCGGAAAGACAGCATGCCGCACTCAAGGCCTCGATCTAGAAGTCCCAGTCGTATTCGCGTCCGGGATTCATTGAAGCATAGTTTCCATGACCCGTCATAGTCACCAGCGGCTGGAGTTCCAGTAGACGCATGGTTGAGCCAGCCTTCCCAAGCTCCTCAAGTTCCGAGCTATGGACTTCGTCGCTCATGTCACAGATGCGACTTCTAGTGCAAGCTGCGAGGATAATACTCCGTTGTAAGATAGCCCGGCGGTAGTCGCATCAGTAGGTCGTCGGGGTCGTGTAACATGACGAGACTTGGACGTGTCCCTAACAATGGCCCGTTCATCCTCCAGTATTGAGAGGATCATGGTAATGTATAATGATTATTTGGGGAAGCTATTTGCTAACGAGTCTCAAGCTCATTCAGGCCTTTGAGCTAGATCCTGCCTGACCATCTCCTTCATTTTCTCTTCGCTCGGCTCTTCCTCCTGGTCGTCGTCCACACGTGTAGACTCTATGAGAGCCATTGCAACAGCATCATTGCCCCAGCAATTCCACTCCCAGCATTTGTTCTCCAAGGATTTATCGAGTAGGGCCTGAAATAGCATGCAGGACTCACGGTTCAATGGATACAAATCTCGTTCAATCAAGACGTGCTGTACAGCGTAGCATTAGCAACCAGTAATATCACAAAAGTCTCGCGTGATCTTCCACTTACAGGTATGCTATCCTGATGGTTGCGATAGCCGTATTTGAGTTGGGGAGCTAGCCAGGTGTACCGGTGGTCAGCGTCTCCAATCCAATCTGCGTCCCATCCTACGAGGCCTGGGTAGCTGATCTCTGTCTTGACCTCCACTGTACAACCGTGCTGGCCGTTTGCGTGAAAGGCGAGACGTTTAACAAAGGCTTCATATCTACTCGGGGTTAGCCAACTATAGTCTCATTCCGAGATGTCCCAGGGTTCGCTTACCTCATCATAACTGTGTTCGTATCAGGTGTTCCGAGGACAAGATTATTAGGGACCTGGGAAGAATTTGGCACTCCTTTGATAAGGCCTCCATAGCTAAAGGCAGATCTATGAAGCCACTGGTGTCATCAGTATCAAATTTGGGAAGTTGTAGAGAGAGGTTGGCTACCTCTGCAACTCTTCTTTTCTTTGCATCGGCAGCGGTATAATGTCCTGGATATACGTCCGACAAAGCCTGCAAGCGTCAGAACAAGTAGCAACGTATTTAAAGGAAGCCTCGACAGGGTGCCTCTTACCAAGTTCGCAGAATACCCACGCTCAGCCACACATTTGTCCTGCGTTGGAATTCTCGTTCGGTGCTTCGTACCCTCTACGAAGTGAGTCTCGACCTCTGTTGTTGTTGGCTCTGTGTGTGGGCGGCATTTGTCCAGGCGGCCGTTAAGACCCCGAGCAAGCAGCTCCGGGGGGGCCTCGTATCCCAGCTGGTAGAATGGTTTGCCTTCAATAGCTCCGTAGAGGAACTCCCGTACTGGTAGGTCCACCGCGATACTGTAAAGGCCTCCAGGATGTGCCTCAAGATATCTCCATCCTGCTTTATCCCATCTCGCCGCATAATCGTTGGCATCCAGAGTAAGCTGATCATAAAAAAAGATATTTGCGAGAGTAAGCACAGGTTTGAACTTGAGTCGTGGTGTGTTGACAACACGCTGGACCCCATCGAACACTTGTTGCTTCATTACATCGCGGTCAATAAGCGACATAGGGTTCTCAGCACTGAAACCTTTGCTTTCCACATACTTAGCTCCCACGATAAACATGAATCCAACTCCGAATATATCTGCAATTTCAGTTGGAATCACGGCATCCCAGTAGCGGCCAAAGAAGTCTTTTGCCGCTAGCTTATCGCCCTGTGATTTTCGTAGTATCTCTACAATTCTGGGTCAGTGTAATTCTCATGCAAGCATAATACGTAACCTACCAGCCCAAACACGAAACACCTCGAGGCAGTCCTCCTGGGCCCTGTAATACATCGATCCAAAAAGCTTTTCAGAAAGCCTGTTTTCGTCTTCTGGGCTTGGGGCGCCTGCGACGGTCCAGCAGCGAAATCTGAGCCGACCACCACGTTCATTCAGAAGGGCGTTGTATCTGAACTGTGCCTCATCTGCAGCCTCCTGAGTACTCGGTCTTTGGATGGTTCTCAGTAGTGTGTCATATGCAATAGCGAGTTCATAATCTGCTTCATATGGCAAGCTATCGCCTCTCATACGCTTGTGGATCTCTTCGAGCCTTATGAAGCAATCCCCGACCTGCGGTTCATTAGGTTTGCTCGGCGCAAGGTACACAAACCGATGGCGGTCGTCTGAGTGAGGTTGGTCGTTAAGACGGCCACGATAGAGGAGCATTTTGTATGGCTTGAAGTAGCTCTTTGTACCATTAGCTCGGCAATTAAGTACGCCAAGTGAATACTTACGGTTCCTGTCTTCCAATCACCATATCTGTCCATTATAGTGTCATTTCCGCGAACTCTCTTAAAGCCAAGTATACCCATCGCATCGGGCGAAAATGGCGCACACGGTAGAAATTCATAGGTTTCGCCAGTCGGTATGAAGGCTACATACTTGTTAGTACACATATTGCTCCGCCAGGCACGTCATGCTTACAATCATATCGAAGCGCCGCGTGAGGTGCCAATGTAAGCCCAGTATAGGTTTGGGTATTTAACGGCGTATTATTCAGTTTGTAGCCTGCCCATGAATCCATAAGTAGAGTACGTGACAAACCCACTCCAGAGCATTTGACTTACAGTCATTCGACTCCATATCCTCTGGTAACGGGTCCGTGATAGGTTCGCCATTTAGATATCTCTGTCGCTGGACATCATCTGTCTGCCAATATTCGTCGACGACATCTATCTTCCTCCCCTTGGTTATTTTCCTGTTGATTATGCTTGACTGTTTATCGGTAGTGCGTTCCTTCGGGAGTCTCTGGTTGTTATCCCTCCCTGCCTCTGTATCCGAGTCGTCTTCGACAATACGGGCCTTTGGGACCCTCTTCTTGGGCTTCCTCTTGGATTTCGGAGCATTGAATCTGGACAAAAACATTTTGACTCTGATCAACGCTGTAGCAGGTAAGCCAGAAGAAATCGAGGAGCACTTTGGGAGTGAGATCACTTACGATGGGGTCAGTACACTTACTGAATTCAATGAAGCAGACTTAAGAATCTTGGTGAAGGTTGCAGGTCCCGGTATCAAATGACTAAGAACCCCCATTCAAATCCTCAATACGCGGCAGGACATCATGGAGTAACAGTCCTCTCTGAAAGTACCCAAGCAGGTCGAGACCCTTATTTGCCGAAGGGTCTTACACGCGGAGGAACGCTTTTAGGGCGTGGGTCCAGGAATCGATAGTTTGCGAAGCTGCAGATCAAGGGCCGCCACACACACCCGGAGTGTAGAAGAAAATCTGACCAGGGTGTAGAAAACAAGGCTTGCTGAAGCAGACGCGCTAGTTCATCGTCAACTGTGCAGGTCTAGACCAAACAGTATTGATCAGAAGTCTACGGAGTAGAGTTATCACACTCGGTTTGCCAGCACAGTATGGTTCCGTCTGGACCACGCGGTGGGTTTGCTCCGATTCAGACAGTCCAAGGCTGTTTTCTCAGCAGTCTACTCTCATTCCCAGGCTGGAAACGGGGCTTAGGGCTTTCGACTGTGTCTGTCTTTTCTGTGGCCTTACTACCCAATTTACGGCTCGGTTCAGACAGCTCAGCCGCGCAGTCGATGCCGGCTGTAGGCTGAGATGCATGAGGACACATGCTGAATGATTCGAATATTGAGCGGATGTTGATTCGAATACCTCAAAGAAAAACTAGCTGGCTTAAATACGAGAAATATACAAAGTCTTAAACAACACAGAATGAAAGTGGTCATTGTAGAGACCATATCCAGTAAAACAGCAAATAGCTTTAGTTGCAGAACACTGTTGGAGGACCGATGTAAAAGCGCTGCGGGTCGTTCAAGATGACATCGGGAACATTAGCACCAATGCCACTGTACGCTTTTTGCACCTTGAGGCTCTCCGCGTCTGTACCGCCGTGGGCCAGGCTGATGAAGCTATCCAAGATACCTTGACGGTATGGTTTGGTCGGGAGAGGTCCAGGAGCAGCAGCCTGCTTTGCCGCTCCGGCTTCCGTCAGTAGGATTGTGTCCATAGGAGGCTTCTCCCTTTTTGCTTCGGGTTCCAAGCCCATAGCGCCCTTGACACGAGACCACTTAACACTGTCTCTAGCATTGGCATGATCGAGATAGCGAACGCGCTTTATGATCTTTTCAGGTTGCCATGTCGAAGGCTTGTAGTCTTGTGGCATGGACTTGAACACAGGAATGGACTGCTCAGGAGCAGCAGGTACTGGTGGCACGAGAGTCGCGCCGACGAGGTGAGAGACTGTAGGTGGCATCCTATCAGGCCTCATGTAGTCTGCTGTATTCTCTGAGTAAGGGCCCCAGTAGTTGGCTGGCAATTGATCGTCAACCTTGGCTACTTCGCGGAAGGGAATGATCTTCTGCTCCTTGGGATTCCAGACCTTGACGCTCAGCGTCGACTTGATCTTTGAAGAGTCACTTGTTTCCTTCTTCATCTGCATGGGTCTGCTGATAATGGAGTTGCCCGTGTATTGCGAAGCGCCACGGCCCTCGATCCCAATGGAATTGGTTGGGACCGCACTTCGAACAGAAAAGATGAAGTTGTCACTACGGACGTGCCAACGCTCCTTATCAGCAGCCACCTTGTTACCTGAAGCTTTGTTGACGGTGTCGCTCTTCTTCTTGTCATCGCCAAGAAGACCAGACACGGCTGTGAATGTATGAGGGTTGACAATGGTATTGTCTTCTTTCCGTGTATCACCTGCTTCCTGTAGCACAAGCGCCATAAGCTCACGTAGGCTGATAGCTCTCTTGCCCTCAGAGGATCCAGAACCAAAGCTGACGGTGAAGCTGACCACGGAAAGATCAAAGTGCACGCTGCCATGGATTGGTGGTCCTTCAAGGTGGAGGGAAGCTCCGACGTTGACGGAGATCTTCTTTCTGAAGCGCCAGACCCTAATCTCATAATAGACGCCTGCAGATACTGCCATGTCGGCCACATAGTGTAGGGGCTTGAGGTTGACCAGGAAGTCGGCATGAGCATCGAAGTGTGCACCAAGAGGACCAGCAGAGAAGACTGCTTGCAGCATTCCTCCCGCCATAATGGCTCCTGGTGTAATAGCAGCGTATGCATTGCCAGTGACCCTGAGGTTTGAGCTGAGCGTCCACGAGATACCCAATCGCTGTGGACGAGGGTAATGCGCTGGAACTTGGTACATAGGATGATAACCGCCGAAACTAACGACCCAGTCACCTGAATGCGGGTTATTCTTGCCGAACCAACTTCTGATGGCAAATCCACCAGAGGGACGACAATCCTTGTTGAGGATGAAAGAAGTGGGATTGATGAGACCATCAACTGAGAGCTCGCCATTGACAAGGTCGAGTTTGCCAACCACGGAAAGATCAATGAGAACAAGAGCCTTATCGGGGCTTGCACGTCGAGGAAGGGTAGCAGTTGCACGAGCAATCAAACCAATATCAGTCTGATTGGGTCCGAGGGCTACTGTTGCAACAGCACGCATGTCAATAGCCTCACAAGCTCGGATGACAAGACCAAGTGCCAGCCAAATGGAGCCCATACTAGGCGTCACAAAAGCATCAGGGCCAGTCAAGGACTTGATAGCTTCGTTCATATTGAAGCCTCCCGACTGGTCGAAACCCTGAATGAGTGGGAATTTAGACAGCTGCTCCACGGTCGGTAGTCGGAGACGTGAGTTGTAGCCAAAGCCAGCCATGAGACCACGAACCTCGGCCCAGCCCATCGTGAAAATGAGTCCTTCCATCATAGCGTATATGAAGAAAGAATCATATTCTGGTGTACCTGTTTCGGCATTGGCTGGGACTTGCTCATACGAGCCAAGTGCTGCAATAGAAAAGGTGCTCAACGAGATAGCAACACCTCCAAAGTACGCTTTGGTGCCAGGCTTGTGATGCAGTGCACCTGCGATTTGGATTGGCATACGAGTGAACGACATGTCGAATCCCTCGACCTCGACCTCGATCGGAACATGGAGGATGTCGTGTAGTCCATGAATCTGCTTGGAGTCGAGTCTGACAACAAGATTAAGACCTTGGATACCAGCACTGATGGGTCCGATGAGGACGCTGGCATCAAGATGGATGCGCAAGACACCTCCCTCGTAAGACAACGAGATACCCGAGAGAGTGAGAGGTCCCTTCTTCTTCGCAAGCGCGGCTGTTGTAGCCGGAGCGCCTCCGCTGGGGACAACTGCCTCTGTGGATGGTTTCTTCTCCTGGACAGGAGCCGGGGTTGCCTTTGATCCGGGAGCAGCTGCGCCCGCTGGCGTTTTCTTCTCTTGCTTATCCTGACCAAATACATGGTCGAGGAAGACACCTTGGCTACCAACAAGACGGAAGTGAAAGCCTTCGGATAACTCTTTATCCTCAGGTCTCATCTTGAATGGCTGATCCAGGAACATCTGGGCACTTCCATTAAGAGTACTAATATCCTCTTGTGTGAACATAGTGTTGACCCAGAGGAACTCAAGGGCATCGAACGGTATGTCCAGGTTTCCGAGGATGGGGAGCTTAGAAATTGATGGTAGAGGACCCAGAGACACGCGTATCAGTCTCTTGATTGGTGATGGTTTGTCTGTCTTTCCGGTGATAGGAACCAACTGCGCAAATTGGACGTGGAGCATGCCAAATTTGAGCTCTGCACCAAAGATTATATGCGGCTTTGTACCATTGAGACGAGTCACAAAGACGTCGAACTTGTCTTCATCATGATTAGATGCCTTGAAGGTGGTGCCCGTAACAAAGCCTGGAAGGATTTCTCGAACTTCCTGACCCAGAAGCTTTTGCACAGCGTCGCCGAGAGTGAACTCTTTAGACGCCTTACCAGAAGCCAATTTTTCTTTTTGTAATTCAGCAGTAAGCTTCCAGGTATTCGCATCCGTACGCGTGAATTTAGTCACCAGTAGAACATTGGAGATCTTGAGGTTCGCTTCAAACTTGATCTGAGTTGGCTGTGCCTTGCCAGCGGTAATGTCAAGAGCAATGCGCTGTAACTCAATGCTCTCCAGGATAGACATCGCATGTGTTTTCTCTTCTCCGGCAGCAAATAGAGAGTGCAGGGCTGTCATTGGGATATATGATGCATGCGCGCGGAATGAGACTTGGCTTTGCAGTGATGAGTATGTTATCATGGCCTCCAGTGACGCCGGGTTATCACCTTCCTTGAAAGGAAGAAGTGTGATAGCTCCATCAAGAACTACATTGAAAGCCTTTGAAGCGTAAACGTAGTTGACTGAGAACCCTAGCGTGGTATGATCGATCTGCAGAGACGGTATCTTAGAAGGATCTGAGACTACTGAAGTCTCAGTTAGTTTTCCGATCAAAGCTTCAAGGCGACCACTGATACGCAGACTCTTATTGGAGACGTAGAGATCTGCCTCTGTGATCTCAGTAGGCACGCCAAACGGTAAGTTCTGTACGAAGCTACTGTCGAGGTAACGGAGCGACATAAATGGCTCTGACGGATCAAGGTAGGGGAACTGTTCCCATCGCTCGTAGTCAAGATAGTACTGCAGAGGAGGGTTGCCCTGTCCCAACACAGTCCCGATGCCATTGAAGGCACACTCGCCTGAGAATTCTCCAGTTCCCTTAGTCCAGGTGAATTCCATAGTGAAGACTGAATGCTTATCCTTGGGAACAAGCACTTGCATAGAAGCCTCAAGCTCCAGGCGCATACCGGCAAGAGTTGTACCGCCGTTCGGGTTGTTCAGAAGAGTAACGGTCACCCTTCTCCAGTATATATGAGAAGTACTGGTATTCTGAGCTTTGGACCCGTGTCCAGTATTGAGGAGAATCTTCTCCAGGTCATCAATGGCAGTGCCTACTTCGGTGCAGGTCTTCCTGATCCACGCCTTGAGAGCTTCCCACTGAAGCGCTTTCGAATAGCACACGAAAAATATGTTGATGTGATCTTCTCCTATGGTGACGTACATACCCATCGCACGCTTCTCGCCCTTGATGTCTGGCTCCGCAGCGATGGTGAGTTCTCCGATAGTGAAGGCGTCTCCCCATGGCCCAGACGTAGGTGAAACAGTCCTCTTAGCAATGACAGACACCGGGGGGATGTGGTCATTCCAACCCGCGAGGTATTTGTTAAGTATCTCGCCTATTTTGCCGTTGAGGGTGAGAGAGGCCTCGAGCCGGACGCAGCACCCAGAGCCTGAACCTGGAATATACCACATCGCGTTGCGAGCTGGCGTACCAGCCAAAGCGCCAAACGTGATTGCGGTCCCTTTGAGCAATGTCTTAAGCCAAGGCTTGGGGTTGATGTGAGCCACTGCACAAAGATCGGCGAGATCCTTGAAGCCGCCATTGGCAGAGCTTGTCTCCAATCCAAGAAGGAGATGACCGGGGTAGCGGTCAATACCGGTAAGCGTGGTAATCTTGGCATCTTTTGATGCGTGGAAGAAGCCAGTCTCAAACTCATCATTGAGAACTTCCGCATCAGTAGAGAACACAAGAGGAGTGGTGTTTCCATCTTTGGATACCTTGACCTTGAGACCGGTCATTTCGAGAGATTTACCATCCGAGCCAAGCCTCAAGTTGACATCAGCACTCTGAAGGTAAGATGCATTTTCGTCAAGTTTCCAAGCTGCGCCAAAGTCTCGTCGCAAAGGATCACTCAGCGAGAGTGGGAACTCGGTTATGTTGGTCTTAATTGCTTCCAGGGAAGTCTCAAAGACTATGGGTCCTGACGAAGTCAGAAACGCCTGTGTGCCGGTGTCTGGGGTAGAGAAGACGATGTGATCAGACGGGACGGTACCGGCGCTGATACCTGGTGTTGCACTGCGGATTTGAGTTGTCTGACCTGTCGCTGCGAGCATGTATTGGTCTTTGAGGGGTATAAGCTGTTGCGGAGGGGAAGGGAAGCTCGGTGTGCTCGTAACTGGGTTTGTGATGGGTGCTACAGACGGGCCAGCAGGAGCTGACGTTGGTGGCAGGACCTTTGGCTGACTTGATACTGGAGGAGCCGCAGGTAGAGTTGCAACATCTCCACCATGGGTAGGTTGCTGAACAGATGGGCCGCCTGGGCCTGAGGCTGGTGGTAGGACGTTTTGACCACTCGATACTGGAGGAGCTGCAGGCGAAGTCCCGACATCTCCAGCATGTTTAGGTTGCTGAAGACCCGGTCCTGTTTGAACAGGAACGTCAGGCTTAGGGGCAGGAATGACTCCAGTCCCAGGTCCAGCAATGGTTCCTGGAGCCACAGGGCCAGCAGAAGGATTTGTCAATCTTGGGTCTACTGCCGAAACTGGAGGCAATACTCCGCTTGGTGCCTGCCCGCTTCCTGGCATTGGAGCTGAGGTAGGCAAACTGGCAGATGGACTTCCAGAGCCAATCCCCCCAGGCTTATCACCTCCAGTCTGCCCAGGAAGTACAGGTCTATCGCCAGCAGGAGGCGATGATGATCCACCGGCAGTCTGTGTACCAGAAGATGCATAACGAGAGCCTCCAGACGGTGCTCGGGGTCGCTTGTCAACATCGCCAACCCTTCCAATCACTGGCCGTCCATGGCCGAGTGATCGTCTACCAGGTTTGGCACGATGCGGAACTTCATCACGCGGTTCATCATCTTCCAGCCATTTCTTGACTTGACGATGTCTGTGGCGCTGACGATGATTATGCCCAGAATGGTCATCAAACTCGGCATCTAACGAGGCATGGTCCTGTTTACGTTTGACTGTAGAGCGTGTCCAGTCCCTTTCACCAAAGAAACGCCCAGGAGTGCTCACAACTCTGATACCGCCAGCAGCTTCTGCGCTTGTATTCTCATCAGAGTCTGAGCTCTTTGAGGTTATCGACTAACCATCTTCAATTAACTTATGCTTGCGACTTTGAGATGAGTTCACTTACACGAGTTTTGAGCGTTACTAGCCTGCCAGGCTTGTTAAGCAAGCTGCCTCGCCCAACTAATGTCGAAGCAATAAGCTCATCAGCGCTGAACACAAATGTCTTGTCTACCAGGGTTTCTTGCTGGTCTGGCAGTGACGGCGGCCATTTGTCGCTGGCCGATCGTCTGCCATGAACGTGGTGGGCCATTGTATCTCTGCCAAAGCTGCGATGCTCGAGATGAGCATTCGTCTGCTATGAACAAAGATTGTGATTAGAGAAAGGCTGTATCAGTGCCAAGGTCTGTCACTTGGGGAGCTGCGTGAGATGAACAGCCAGATGCTCAATCGCACGTAGGCCGAGCAGAGTCCATGCCGATCAGAGCTGGACAACCCCGGACTGCAAGCTATTTCGGATGCAGTCTTCGCAATGGCCTAGAACACTAACCTCGCCCCTTCTCGATCCCTGCTCGTGTAAGTCACTTGGACAGCATCAAGGTTCCAACTGCTCAGATGCAAGTGAGCCAATGCTCCCCAATCGGCGTATGCAGCTTTCTTCCAGCCATCACATATTACTCGAGACATGCAGCAACTAGCTCCGATTGTAAGACCGGACATTCCGCTTTACGATAAGTCAATGCGTGAATCAATAGTCTCCGGGAGCGGGCGCTTGCGTATAGCATCGGCTGTTGGTTCATGTGTAGAGTCGAGGCGTTCTCGCGAAGTGGGCGACGGTACGGCCCTCAATGGAGCTACGTGATAGGTGGTGTAAACGAGCATTGAGGCTAGTTTGCTCTTCTTTCGTCTTAGATAAAACGAAACTATCGAAAAGAGCGAATTCCAGTTGGGGGGGAATGCCATTTTGGGATGGCAAGAGGGGAGCTGAGCTTTAGCTGCATGCAGGGTCTCGAACCATTTCTCCGGGGTGTGCAAGACAAGCTTTTGGTAGTTTGGCGTCGAGACCATTGACTTTGCAGGGGTGTGGTGCCCTAGGCTGTTTGTGTAAGTGCCCTGTGGAAATTTGCAGAACCAATTGGGAGCAGATTTTAGCTAGGCCATTTACCCTAAGGCTGCCTCTCGTGAATATTGGAGTGCTTCTATGCTGAATGAACAGCTGCCTAGGTTAGTAAAGAGGCTGGGGTCTGCAAGAGCATATTCGAGGCGAAGTTCTCTGTATGATTTTATTGTACTATACTCTACGGATACTCAGTAGACGATTTGTGGATATGTCGTGGAGATATAACACTCAGATATGTTGAGGCCTCAATAAAGCAATTTCAGAACGATGTAATATGACAATCTGTAGGTGACAATGCATTCCAATTGAGACAGTAACACTGAAGATAAATATTGAATATGTACAAAACCCTCCTTATTATTCCTTGCGCAGTGTCCATTTATCCATGACTTCAGTTGCTTTCAACACTGAAACTTCCTTACCATTGGCATCCTTACTCTTCTCCCAATTCCCATAAACCTCCTTCGTCTTGACCTCAACATCATTACCCACAACGCCATTGACCGTCGCCCTCATAAGCATGAAACTGGCATCCAGCCCATCTGTAAACGTAGCGCCGCCTCCAGCTGTCCCACGTGGCTTCAAATGAACCACCATCTCAGCAGGCGACTCTTTCGTAGCCGGTCTATGTGTCGTAGCCGCAATCCATTGTTGCCTCGGCCCAATGGCGCGCACAGAAGGCAGCGGTGCTAGATGGTCGAGAAGATGGGATGGATCTTCGCCAATGGGAATGGTGACTTCTATGGCAAACACTTCTGTGCCTGCTGGGATGTTGTCCTTGAGCGTAGGGATAGCTTTAATGGAGAAGACAATATTTTGAGGTGTGTTGGACTGCGGTGGTATGTTGCGGCCTGGGGAGTCTTGAGAAAAGGCTAGTTTTTTGAACCACGACTTCATCTTGGCTTTTGTACTCTCAGGTAGATGCTCGGTTACCGGTTCGCGATTATCTTCTTCTGGATCCGGCTGTTCGGGGAAGATGACTCGAGGCTTGCTCTCTTTGCCAGCGGTCACATTGAAGTTGAGCGTAACGCAGTGATCGCGGTCCAGCAATTGTGTCGCGATATACACCACTTTCGAGTCTGGCGCTGGCTTGTCCCAGGCACGGGTTTCGTTCTGATCGATGAAGTGGTCCATCATATTGACCACCAGGTGAGGAGTCAGAATACCGGTGTCATGATTCCAGATGAGCTTGAAGGGGAAACCAGAAGGACTGATGACACCAGTCCTATTCCAATTGATCTTCTTCTCCACTTCATCTTGTCGCAAAGCGTCCTTGAACTTCTGCGTCATCTTCAAGAATGGCTTCATCTCGCAGGTGAACTCCATAGAGTCTTTGTAGACGGCGTCTCCCAAACTGTAGCGTTGTTGATGTGGCGGTAGTTTGAGCTTGACAATGTAGTCAACCAGCTTTTGACCCTGACCTCTTGCGACAAGGCAGAGAATCATGTCCTCATTGCGCGTTCGATACGCGCAGTTTAGGGGACTGCCTTCACTGGGCCCTGGCAATTTGGTAGTGATGGTCATCTCGAGATCGGGAAAAGACTCAACGATACCACTGCGGACGATGAAGCCGGAACCGCCGATCTGCACACGGTCGGCTGGTGCCTTTTCCAGATACATATTAAAGGCCCAGCGGATCAGATCACGGACTGGATCACTGCCTCCTCCCATAGTGTTGGCCAGACTCATCGCACCATCCACAAGAGCATCAATCCAGTTATCATCAATAAGAAAACAGCTAACGCTCTCTTTCGCAAGGACGGCTGGGTCGGGGTATAGGTACGTCGCCGGGACTAGCTTCAAAGACATGAGATTGTCGATGAGCCAATTGAACACGAGGCCCAACTGAGGGATTGAGGAAACGACGGGCGTAGCCTGGCATAGTTCCAGAGTCCTATCTTCAAGCCAGGGCTTTGCTGAACTTTCAAGATGTCTGCGCAGTTTCTCAAAGGTCATGACGCCCGGCGCTGCGGCCAAGGATGTCGCTGCAGGAGAAGGGACTTGCCATCGTAGATCTCCGTCTCTCGGCAGACCCTTCATCTTTGCCGCCACAGAGCCGTTGAAAAGCCCATTAAGTTTGGATAACGCGCTATCAACAACGGCGTCCGCCTTGTGCATGAGTCTTGATTGCTCATTCTCTGCATCCTCGTTCTCTGAGATCTTGGACTTCGTTATAGCCTTCATGCAGAGCTTTCGGCGCAGGTAGGCAATGGCCGTTGAGAACTTGGCGTCGCGACCTGCCAGTGTTCGACCTAGCTCCCAGGCCGTGTTGTATGATACATCAAGAATTCTCGCTGATGTGTCGATGATTTGCAGATCGGTGCCGTGCACACTTGGCTTGATGCGCGCTTTGCGCGATAAACCTGGAAGAAGCGGTCCTCGGTACAGCGCCATGGACGATTCGCCAGCGATGTCGCGATGACGTACAATAGTGTACCCTTCTGTGACCCTTCGCCGAACCCACGCAGCTGAGGGGTCGTCTGGCTTATTGGGATCCGTAGGCGGAAGTTTGATCGCCAGCGGGTGAATGCTCTTCGGGTCAGCGAGATTCTTGAACATCTCAAGATCGTGAGACGCATTGTTCTTCTCCCAGGTGAATGTCCAGGAGAAAAGAGAGATGAGCGCTACGGTTGCTGAGGCCTCACTCGCAGCTTTCCAATCGATGCGGCCGTCCAAGGTCTCAATTGAGATGATGTGCGCATATACTTTGACGGGCTGATCACCCAAGGTATACGGACGTGCTCGATGACCAATAAGTGTGCTGAGTTTATTCGTGATATGGCCACTCTCATCCTTGACACCACTATCTGTCATGTACGTGAGGAGTTTATAGCGGTCCAATTCAGGCCCAGCTTGTTGCCCCGTCTTTCCCGTTGAGTCTTGACGCTCAAAATACATCTTGAACGCGCTGCTCTTGACAAACAGGAAATCAGCAGTCGCTGGTGTTCCATCACCCTTGACCGGCACATCAGTGTCGGAATAGTCATTCTTATGACACCACTTTGAGCGATTACTGTTGAAAAGGCTCAAAGGAAGTGTGAATGATCGAGTACCAGAGGGTTTAGCAGCACTGGTCACCTCCGGAGGCACACACAGATCCTCATCTGTAAAAAGAAGCAGAGCAACCCATGGCGTCGGCGCAGTGCCCGGAGTATGTGTTTGCGACCGTTCCCAAGGTGTCGCGCCTTTGAGAACGACGTGAGGAAGCGTTGTTGCGCTCACGGTGCGCAGATTTGGCGGATAGAATGAGTGAACGAGCTCTGGTGGTATGGCGTATGGTTGACACGCCTTGACCGTGACGGGTTGTGTTGATACCAGCTTCTCAGTGTCATTGCCAGATTTGACTTCTTGTGTAGTGATAATCTCATACTCGCCCGGGGGCATTGGAGGGATCTCATAGGCATAGAGGCGAGCTTTCGCATCGGCGTTGTCGTAAGCAGTTGAACTGCTGGACGACGCCGTCGCGATTTGCTTAGTATTAGACATACTGCCACTTCAAGTGAGAGATATGATGATACTGCCAAGGGCAGTAAAGTGTGCAATGAAGACCTGCTGGCCAAGCTCACATGCAGAATTGATTGATGTGCCTTTGATGGTGGATGAGTATGAAGGCTTCACAACACAGAATCCCCAGAGCTTACACGAAGCAGACCTGTCAATGGCAATCAACTTCACCATGGTGCCAATCTCGCAATAGAATGTGTAATTCTCCAAAGACGATTTGTGTCTAGACTCAAGCCCATGTTCACTGCATCTATCCCCTGCCAAGCGGAATAAAGGCGATACCCCTAGAACGTGAGACCTGCATCAGAACTATCGAAATAGTAAATCACGCGCTTGGTAACTTGCCCGTTTAGAACTTGAGCGGATACGGCGTTTCCGCTTCGGTTGAGCAAGACTCTGGTCAGAGGCAAATCGATGCACACGCCCTGAGCTAGTGCTTGGGACTAGCCGTTTCTTAGCGAGCGTCCCAGCTCCCGGGCCGCTAGTGGCCGTTCAGCCAGCCGCTATAAGGGGTAATAGGGAGACGCTAACCAAGCATTTGGTGGTGTGTTGCCGTTCTTCCCGTAGGCCTCTGGGGGAAATGTTCCGCTGAGGGTGAGAAGTATACCGTGTGTATCGCACTGTCCGACGACTTTGGGACTGGACCCTGAAAAAGTGGTTGGTAACTGGGCCTCGGCCTGTGTGTCTCA